TATTACCCCTGAATCAGTTCGTCCGTATCCAAAAGCTCCAGCTCGTCAGGTACGTAAAACTAAACGTAAGAAATTAACTTCCAGAGTGTTAACCGACACCCCAGTTAAAGAAGAGCTTCGCGTGCAGCAAACTCGTGAAGAGATAAAAAAACGTCCCATCATGAACAAAAGGAAATTGCAACAAAATAAAAAAAATCAAATATCCGAAGAGAGCAACAGAGTAACAAAAAAAAATAAAATTAAAAGACAATTATATGCTGAGAAGGACATATGCGTCATGTGTGGTGAGGCTGGCCGAGACAACGAAATGTGGTTTCGTTGCAGAAATTGTGCCAAGTGGGCTCACGAGCTCTGCACGAGTGTTTCTAGTGCAGTTGATTACATTTGCGAATTTTGCATACATGAATAATCTTATTATTTCAATTTTTGTTTCAATTAAAAATACTTCAAATGTGTTTATTTCCATGAATTTGTTGCTATTCTTTAATGGTCCATTTGGTACTTTACCCGGTCCATCCAGTACACCGCTATTGTACCGAATGGACCACCAAAAAAATTGGAACAACCCACCTTAAAAATTAAATTATAAAAAAATTACGTTATTTGGAAATATTAAAAAAATACCGTCAACTGTGCAAGATAATGACAAATCAAGATCAGTTATTAAAATAGCGATAGCTGATTTTGTTGAGCAAAGAAAAAATATTTAGTGAGCGACAAAAAAAAGCGGTCCATTCGGCCCCCGTCTCCCCTATTTTAATACCAAAAATGCATTCCATTCGTTGTTATTTAACAAATATTTGTAGGTGTATATTCGATATCGCGATGTGTTCAATCGAAAAATCAAATTGGATAAATAGGCAGACTAAAATTTTATTGAGGATTTGATGCAGTTACTACATATAAGACGTGCACATGTGAAACCAACAAACTGCCACCTGGTATATAAAAACGTCAACTAATCGAATGAACATGTTGGCCTTTAATGATCCAATAATCTAAAAGAATTGTAAACAAGGACTGATGTGATTGTTACCATTATTGCTATTGCTGCAATTCATTGTAGTATCTGCCTACACTTTTTTCTGTTGTTGGCACTATATATGTTTGTTATATGTAAAACACATTACACATTATCATTAATTCATTTTAATCGATTACCTGCCATACTAAATAATAATTAGATTAAATGACATGAAAATTCAAACTTATGATGTTAATATCTATTTTTTATGTAACAGAAATTAAGAGAGTAAAAGGTTTAAAAAACATTTAACTTGTTAATCATAATGCTTTTTTTGAAAAATTCGTTGGAAAATATCTAGTTTTGATGCAAGTGCCTGGCGCTCTCCACCAAAGATCCAAGTTGTCGTACCACATTTGGACACCTGTTGCATCTTGTTCGTGAAGCATTGTACAAACTCGACACCAAAATTTTGTGTCAACGAACTCTCCGGTACCTTTCCATCGAAAATAGCTGTTGTAAAGGTAATCATCACGATCTAATTTATGTAGGTAAGAAGCTAATTGTTTTGGAGAAACAAAATCGTCAACATGTATGTAAGAATTAGGTGGGGCCACTTTTTCATAATCTTCTGGTCTTGCTCCCATTACTATTGGCAACACGTCATAACTTAGTGCATTGCGAAAAAACTTTTCAGTTATATATTCTTTGCAGTTAGAATTTTCGAAAGATAGATAAAATTTGTAGTCATTGAGGAGTAAGTCATAACAACGTTTATCATACTGGTCGCCACAAGTTTTTTTGCCACACCCACCATAAATATCAACATCGATATATTTGGCAAGCTCTTCAGCATATTCATATCTGCCGTTTTTAGGTCTACAATTAGTGACAAACCATGCAACTTTTTTTTCTTTTCCCAAAGCAAAATTTTTGTAAGTTTTATCAGGAAGTTTAGAAAAGTTTTTAAAAAAAACAAATTTTCCGTAAGGCATAACGATAGTGGAATCCGACCGATAAGTAGCTGTCCAGTTAATAGCACTTTTGTAGTACGGAGTATGGAACGGTGATTCTTGGGTTATCAACATATGAATTTGTTTGCGTAGAGAGCAACTTTTTCCACTGTCATCTCCACATCCAGCGTATTTATCTAAACTATTTCTATAAACAACTAGATTTGCTTTTCTTTTCATCTTTTTGTCGTCTGTGAAAGAACACCACGAAACTGGACATTTTTCGTCAAGAAAAAACTTTTGCCCAGCAGATGTGCCATACAGAAATCCCCAATCCAAATAAATTAATTTCATAGGAAGAGAAGTATTAATAACAGGTACTGTGTTTAACTGATGTAATATCCTGTCATATTGTTCATCCTTCGACGGCCACAAGTGTCTTGCTGATGATTCTCTATAATGTTTATACTGATTCCAGAAATTTTCATAATTAACGCTGGATGAGTTTTCGCTGCTAATATTAAATTTGATTAACCCTGAAACGTTGTTTGAGAATAAACGGTTAATTGGACCGACAACAAATCTATAATCAACGACGTTCACACTTAGAACTCTGAAAAATATATAAAAGAGAGTCGAAATTATTACAACACCTCCTGAATAAACCACAAGTGTTCCCACTGTATTTTTCAGAATCATCATAGAAATTGATTTTCTTTCAAATTTTTAGGGGATCCTATATATATATATATATATATATATATATATTTATATTTATATATATAAATATATATGTACAATGTACATACATTTATATACTATATGTTTGTATATTTATGTTTATATTTATTTGTAACTGACTGATGGCTCTCCAGGAATGTGCGATAATTTTTAATATTTTATTTTATTAGACAAAAGTCAAATAAAAAACAGACCACTTTTAACTACATATTCTCTTGTGATCACCTAATTAAAGGAAGAGAGAAATCAAACGTAAATTCATTACTGACAAAAAAGCAACTTAGGAATCTTTAATATAATATTAATAATTATAAACAATTTGTTGAATTGCCGCATATATAAAACTCATAATTACTTTTAAGATAATTTCATGAAAACATGAAAATCATGAAAAGATGAAAACATTATTTTTTCAGATGAAAACATTATTTTTTAAAATGAGGCTCAAAATTTTTAATCGGAAATTGAGATTGATGGCTAATGCGTTCTTTAGTTTAATTTTTTTGTACTCCAGCTTATATAATAGAGTTCCAATTTTTTTACCACCAACATATCCTGTTGTCTGGTGTCAGATGCGACAAATATTTACATTCTCATAATAATCACTGTAAGAATATTTATAAATTAAGATTAACAAAATGTATTTGTGCAGCTGATCGATTTTTAAAATTTAATGACTGCAAAACGAGTGTGGTGGCAATAGTTCAAAGATATAAATAAGCGTTTAGAAATTTTTTTACTTCATCTAAAATTTATTAATTGGATATTTACTGGCGATTCACAAAAAAACATTTCCACACAACAGATAAGGACAAAGAATGGATGATAGAGTATGGTTAATTGACAAAGCATCGATTAATTTTAATAACATAATAATGAGTATATAGAAATTTGCACGATCGACAGACCGATAGAGTTTGTATGGAGTCCAAATGTTTTGTTTTTTGAAGAATTGACGCAGTTATCACATACAAGACGTGCGTAAATAAAACCAGTGTTTTATCATAATAACCGACAGATGCCATATAGTATATAATTTCGTCAATGAATCGAAGAAATGAATAATTTTTAGTTATATACATGCATATTTTATGCATTTGAAATTGAAGAGAGTACTCTAGATCATATGCAATACTAATAAACAGAATAGTGAGTAGATGTAGCTGTGTGACTAAATTTTCAATTGCTAAACGGTGAAGATCTCTTCAAGAAGAGATCAAGTGGCAATTAACAATGAAGATGAACTTGATTAAGTAACATGCAAAATTAAGACACTGCTAGGAAATTAAACACTGTATTGTCATTCAAATTTAAAACCAAATTTTAAATGGAATCATTTTATGCGCATTATTGAAACAACACAATTTAGTGAAGTAAAATGGAAAATTACATACAAATTCCTTTACCGAAATTGTAAATAAAAATATATTTTCAAAAGCAGATTTTGAAACTTTCCTTATAACTAACTATTCGCTTACATCTTTAGAATAAAACATGCTGAACTCGATTTTGATTTATATAACGATCACGATCATGATATGTAATCTGTAATGCATGGATAGATTAGAAATTATTAGACTGGATGAACCATGGATATCTTTAATATATTACAGCCATGCGATAAGCATTAAATTTTATTTTATACATATCGACTGAACAAAGTAAATAATGACAAATTAAACTTTATAAGTTATACAAAAAAGCTCTGCATAGGCTGTCTATTGTGGATTTTGAAAATAAAAAATAAACGACTTGGCTTCTTTTTCAGTGAAGTACATCGTACAAGAAAATACTGAAATAGTTTTACTGTTTAACAACATTGTAGATTACAGTCCTTAAAATTAATAGGTACATGTTTGGTGTAACTTATGTGGTTAGCAATTTGAGAAAAAATGCATAGAATCGCTAAAAAAATATTGACAATTTTTGAAAAATTTTCAGACGAGGATTTATAAAAAATGTTTTGTCGACATTCAAGAAACATTATAAATATACAAAATTTCATTTAGTCTGAGAAATCTAATAGAGCGATGGGATGATTTGAAAGAATTATAAGCAACTTTAAAAGAATTATCAAAAATTATAAAAATCGTACGTGATAATTACCATCAGCTATTGCTGAAAAGATTTGCTATAATATATGTTAACTATTTTTATCAGTTTTGAGGTAATGTATTCATATTAATGAATATTTGTTGTGTAATGTAATTACATGTAAAACCACATTATACGTCATCACTGATAAATTTTAATAGATCACTTATCATCTGAAAAAATTAAATGGCACACATCGGCTGAAAAGGTATATATTTAAATTAAAACATTTTTATTATCAACGTTTATTTTTCAAAACATCATTTAAATTATTTTGAATTTAATTTGAATTTACGTTTCGTATAAAAAAGATATTACAATATAAATTAATTATGTTTGTGGTTAATGTAACAAAAACTCAGAAAGTAAAATGGTTTAAAAAACATTAAACTTATTAGTTGTAATACTTCCATGCAGGCCAACTCGTTGAAAAATATCCAGTTTTGATGCAAGTGCCTGGCGCTCTCCACCAAAGATCCAAGTTGTCGTACCACATTTGGACACCTGTTGCATCTTGTTCGTGAAGCATTGTACAAACTCGACACCAAAATTTTGTGTCAACGAACTCTCCGGTACCTTTCCATCGAAAATAGCTGTTGTAAAGGTAATCATCACGATCTAATTTATGTAGGTAAGAAGCTAATTGTTTTGGAGAAACAAAATCGTCAACATGTATGTAAGAATTAGGTGGGGCCACTTTTTCATAATCTTCTGGTCTTGCTCCCATTACTATTGGCAACACGTCATAACTTAGTGCATTGCGAAAAAACTTTTCAGTTATATATTCTTTGCAGTTAGAATTTTCGAAAGATAGATAAAATTTGTAGTCATTGAGGAGTAAGTCATAACAACGTTTATCATACTGGTCGCCACAAGTTTTTTTGCCACACCCACCATAAATATCAACATCGATATATTTGGCAAGCTCTTCAGCATATTCATATCTGCCGTTTTTAGGTCTACAATTAGTGACAAACCATGCAACTTTTTTTTCTTTTCCCAAAGCAAAATTTTTGTAAGTTTTATCAGGAAGTTTAGAAAAGTTTTTAAAAAAAACAAATTTTCCGTAAGGCATAACGATAGTGGAATCCGACCGATAAGTAGCTGTCCAGTTAATAGCACTTTTGTAGTACGGAGTATGGAACGGTGATTCTTGGGTTATCAACATATGAATTTGTTTGCGTAGAGAGCAACTTTTTCCACTGTCATCTCCACATCCAGCGTATTTATCTAAACTATTTCTATAAACAACTAGATTTGCTTTTCTTTTCATCTTTTTGTCGTCTGTGAAAGAACACCACGAAACTGGACATTTTTCGTCAAGAAACATCTTTTGCCCAGCAGATGTGCCATACAGAAATCCCCAATCCAAATAAATTAATTTCATAGGAAGAGAAGTATTAATAACAGGTACTGTGTTTAACTGATGTAATATCCTGTCATATTGTTCATCCTTCGACGGCCACAAGTGTCTTGCTGATGATTCTCTATAATGTTTATACTGATTCCAGAAATTTTCATAATTAACGCTGGATGTACTTTTGTTACTAACATTAAGTTTTATAAATTCCGTTGTATTTTTAAGTTTCTCATTCTCAATCCAGAAAACTCCATTAACGTAAAATGTATTTTCATTGGCAATATTTAATTCTTTTAATCTAAAAACATTGTATGGAAATAAACGGTCACTATAAAAGAAGAAACTAGTAACTAACAATACAACGGCTACCAAAAAAATCACACGTCTTTTCATTATATTTTTTCAGATCAATTTCAAAAATGCAATGTAAATTACTTTTGATTTCAAATGTTTGGTGGATCCTATATAACATGCATACTAATACACACATTTATATATACATATATAAATAGAAATATATATATATGTGCATGTTGGTAAAAGACCAAATTCTTTGCAAATTCCGCCAATTCATCAGTGTTCGCCAACCTATTATTCTAATATAATTTGGTAAACACTGATAAATTGGTGAAATTTATTACACATTATTATATATTTGCATATATATATATATATACCATATAGATTTTTATTGATTCATACATTTGCTTATCGCTCTCTCTCTTTCTCTCTCTCTCTCTTTATATATATATATATACATATATACATACATACATACATACATACATACATACATACATACATACATACATACATACATACATACATATTATATGCAGTAGTTTGGCACCATGAATCGTGGACGTTGAAAAAACACCATAAATATTCAACGCTTGTTCGATGCTCTGCTTTATATAGAATATATATATATGTATTATATGTATTCTGTTAAAAGACCATAATTAATGTGATAATTTATTAAATCTACCAAATTTCTAGCGTTGGATTTATTTCTCAATATTTCTAACCAAATTCTTGTCATCATTATTTATTTTATTACGGTTAGAATGATATGACAAAGTCAGAGAAAGAAAATTGGGATTTTTTTAGACACATTTGTAGAATGAGAGAAGACAGATTGATTAAGATAGTACTAATGAGGAAAAGAGATTGGAAGAAAAAAGTCTGTTAGAAATGCAATTATTGATGAAAATCACAGCATGTTAGGCGTTAGTTAACTCCCACTTAAACTTTTCGATTTTTCTAACGGTTGATCGTAAATCGTTATTTAACGTAATAATAATGATAATTTTAGGCGTTAGTTAACTTCCACTTAAACTTTTCGATTTTTCTAACAGTTGATCGTAAATCCTTTTCAACTTTAAACAAACAAAGAATAAACAAAGTAGAGTAGAGGCACAGTATATATATATATATATAACAAACACAACCTATCAATTTGAACACCGAAGAAGGTATAGAAATACCGAAAAAAACTTTTTGTTCTGCCATGCATAAAATAAACAAAAATTTTGTTTCTGAACTAAAAAAAAACTTGAAAATGATTTACAATCAACCGTAACACGTAAAAATATTATATTTAACAAAGTCAAAGCTTGTAAAATAAGTATCCACTTTAAACAAACGAGGAATCAAAAAGGTAGAGTAGAGGCACAGGATATATATATATTTGAGCATCTGGGCACATACACAACATGGGCTTCTGCCAAATAAAACTCAATATATATATATATATATATATATATATATATATATATATATATATATATATATATATATATATATATATATATATATATATATATATATATATATATATATATATATATATATATATATATATATATATATATATATATATATATATATATATATATATAT